TGCTGTGCTGACAAATCGTTGACCCATTTGCTGAACTGTTTCTTAAATGCCAAGAACTGTACTTGAGTGTTGCTAAGACCTGGAGCTAAAGCTAATGTGAGTATTGGAGGAAATCCAGACTTTCCACAATGTGTTGAAAGCCAAGCAGTGAGTACTAGCCTGCTTGACACTAATACTTGTTCTTTTTTACCAGAAAGAAGATACTGGGAGGAGCACAAAAGACTGCTGGGATAGCCCAGACACCCCTGCACTTTCCACTTGCAGCAATGCAGATATATTCCGCCGAATAAATGCAATGTTGGACAACTCATTGGATTTCAGTGGAGTCTGCACCACGCCTGTCACAAAAAGCAAACGTGACATCCTGCCAGGTGATGTGTTTGGCAGGGTTCGAGGTGAGCTTGAGGATCTGGGGCTGGTGGAAGGGCAGAGTTGTGTAGTGGGACCTGGCAAATGGGTGGTGGTGGTAATCCTTGCTGTGGTAGCTGGTGATCAGAGATGCTTAGAGTGAGGATTTGTGCTGTTTTGATACCAGGGTCTTCATTTGTGTGTCTGAAATGGATAACCCAGTTGTTCCCTGGTCATGTGGGGGTGCCAGGGAAGTCTTGCTTGTCCCTGTGATGCTGTGGATCACTGTGGGCAGGACATGAGCTCTCACTGCCTGACCTGCCAGCTTCTGCTGTAGATCGTTCCAGCAGACTCCTTTACAGTCTGCCTCTCCTGGAGGCAGGATTAATTTGTTAGGTGTTAGTATGGCTGATCTGCTGCATATCTTAAATGCAAAAGAATTTTGAATGGCTGTGTTTGCTACCAGTCAGTTAGTTGCGTATTAAGGGACACCGAAGCAGTACAGGCAGGTGAGGACTTTTCTTGCAAAGCAAACTTGGGATTATGAAATCAGTGCTGCAAATTCTTGGCTCCTATAGGCTGAGGGGAGTGGGTATATTCTGCCATTTTGCACTTGATCACCTCAAAACAGAAGGCTCCAATGCCAAAGCAAAGATGTTGGATCTGATTTTATTTTTATGTAAGTGAAGGACATGCTTTTGTCACTTTACAGTAGGCAAGATCTGCTAGTAAATGTACCCGACGGACGCCTGATGTTCCTCTTGCCAGTGCACTTCTGTGCAATGGTACTTGTGCCAAGGATTTGGGCACTTGAAAGATTGCTGCTGTTCCTCCAGCCTCTGAATTATAGGGTCAATAAACACATCGGCCATTATTAGAAACAAACTGACCCTCTGGACTTGTCCCAAAACAAGGTGGGAAGTAAAGGGAAAAACTTTACCAGCTGGTGACCTTGTGGGCTCCTGTAGGCAGAGGAGCTTTCTCTGCAGTCACTTGGAGACAGGGTTGTCTTGTGCTCATGGATAATCTGATGGGTTTTAATCAAATGGCTGTAAAAAAAAAAGCTGCGAATGGGTGTCTGGGCATCCTATGGGACTGTTTGATGCTTGTGCAGTGCAACTTTGTTCTAGACTAGCAAAATGACTGCTACCAGATGACTTCCAGTGCAGCTTAATCTCCCGGGTATTTGAAGGGTTTAGCACTGTGGAGCAGGGGCTGATCTGGCCATGTGATCCTTTGCTGGCACTGCAGAAATACCAGAGGAAGTGAATCGTTTGCTTCGAGGTAGGGATCTATAGCCAGCATTGCTTGAAACGTGCCTAGTAAAATGGATATGCTGGCTACTCTGAGCATAGTGAATATTAACTAATTCAGGTCAGTGGTGTGGTTAGTGGTACATTTTTAGAGATGTGCTGTTGTACTGAGCTGTTAAAGACTTTTTTTGTCCCTTGGCACAGTGGTAGTTATCTGATTCTTGATCTGAAGTGTAAGGGAGAAATAAACCTAAGTATTTTCTTTATTTCCTTACAATGAGTTCATGAAAGTGTTGTTTCTGGCTGCCTTGTTGAAATTTTAGCTATAGCCCTTCATATTCCATTTATAATTTGGAATGGGAATGTTGCCTAATTAATTTTCAGCTTCCTTGCCAAAGTTAACTTAGTTGATAAAGCAACTGTCCCTGCCCACTAGAGCAGATCCATCCTGTGAAGATGTGGGTTAGTTTTGGTTTTAGGTCTGGGCTTAGAGGTGGCATGTCAATTTTAATTTGCAGTACTGTCTTCCAGATGATTAAAGTGCTTCTCTGAGGGACTGGGGTATTCATCTGGCAATGAAATGAACCTGCTTACTGACCTACTGCATGTAAATCTCTGCTTGGTCTGTCAGTTACTGTGGTATTTCTTGTGGATGTCTGGAGCAGAGGGTCTTGCCTGGTGTGGAGCTCCTGAGAAGTGGTGCTTTGATTGGGAACTGGGTGAATTTCCCTTCAGTGGTGTTAAACTGTGCTTGTGTTTCAGGCTATCATTGAATAACTCCTATGGAAGACCTTGTAGGACAAGTACAGTGGGACTTCGATGTAAAAAAGGAGGCTTCCTCTGGCAAGTGTTACTTCTGCTGCAGGGCAACCAGAGTTGTGCTTTTTGGGACATCCTAAGCAGCTTTTCTTGTTCTGGTGTAGCAGTTGAGGCCAGTCTCACATGTGAGTGCTGGTTGCTGGCACAGCCACCTGTGCAGCATGGAGTCTCTGCTCAGCATTAGTTAAGCTGACAGGAGGCTTTTAGTTTGTATCAAATCCCTTGTGCAGTGGCACAAATGCTTGTGATGGTATGAGGGCAGGGTTTTCTTGCTTCCCAAAGGATGCTAGGCACTGCTGAGTGAGGGCTAGAAAGTGGCTACCTTGGGTGCCCTGACCATTCAGGCTAATGGAAGCATGTGATCTTTTGGAAGGTGCCTCTGGGTTGTACAAGAGACTGGTCATGGGATACAACCTGAGCTACCCTGGCCAGGCCAGCAGTTATCAGCTGTAAATATGTGGATGAGTCAGCATCTGCCAGTGCATAGGCAGTTCAAAGTTATTAGTCTACTTGCAGTCCCAGTCTTGTTTTGTTAGTGTCAGTCAGGACCTCTCAGTAGGTAATGAGGGCCTGAATGCAGCAGTTCTGCAAGCTTCCTTCTGTCTCTGGATCAGAAAGGTGCATAAGCTGCTTCTGTTTAATGTGTTGCTAATGAGCATCTTCTCCATGAAGAAGTTGGCACTGTCAGCAAGGTTGTGAATCCTAGGACAGCTGTGATTTGCAAATTGGGAGGTGCTTCACACTTGGACCCTGGCCTAGGTTGTGGCTGTCTCTTGCAGAAATTCATACCTGCTGGCTCTGAGGCTGAGCAGCTGATTACTAAAATTCAGACTAGAAAGCAACTAACTGCTCCCTGTATTGGGTACATGGTCTAGAGCCTGAAGCTGACTCTGGGAGCTGTTTGCCATGCTTTGGAGTGAACAAGACAAGGCTCTGTAGGATCAGTGTCTTGCCTTCAGTAAGTCTGGCTTCTGTGTAGGTGACCAGTGGAGTAGAGACCCTTGATCCCATGTAGTGTCTTGTCACTGCTCCTAGTTAAATCACTTGTGAAGAATTTGTGAGCTTCTGATGTTGTTTCTGTGCAGGAACAACTTGTAGTTAGGCTGCATTATCATGAAACTCATAGCTTGAGCAGTCTTTATGAGCTTGGAGATACACCCTTAATGTATTAGCTCTAACAGGTGAAAGGACTGGCTTTTTACATCTTAAACTCTTTTGGTGAGAGAGCTGGGGGAAGAGATTTTTATTCCAGCAAGGGAAGTACTTGTACCTTAATCTATTCATGGTCCCTCAAGCTTTTCAATTGTCTTCCTCAGGTCAAACTAAATTTATCCTGGATTGGACTTGTGTTTAAAAAGCTCCTTTCAGCATTAAGAGGATCACACATGGCAAAGGGACAGCAGAAGTTTGTGGCCTTTCACTAATGCTATTGGGGAAACACGTGTGGAGACACCTTACTTGATGAAATGAGGTGCACAGCAAGGTGGTACTGAGAAGAGATCAGTACAGCAGCAGGCTGAGCAGTGTGAGAGAACGAGCTTATTCAGCAGTCCTGGCTCTGACACAGTTGGAGAGTTATCCAGATCTGGGCAGAGCTGTGTGACAGAAGGGACTGCCACTGGAGATTTAGCTTGCCATACCTAATGTTAAATCTCTGTAAAGATCAGTTTGCAGTTAATGATAATCCTTGGTGAACTTAGTTGCCCTGTCAAAACGATCTGAGTTGTCAGGCCCAGCCTGATGACTGCAGTGGTTCATGGGTGCTTGCTCCAGGAGTTCCCCAACCTAGGCATAGGTTGCTAGCCCAAACTGAAGGAGACAGTGCAACAGTGTGGTGAAAACTGTAATTGTAGAACCTGTCTGGTAGCTTCTGGGGCAGGATTGGATGGTGCTTCAGAACACCTGCCTTTCAGGCTGATTTACTCCTCTGAAGAACGGCAAAACTTCCTCAGCAAGGTTGAGTGTAGTGCAGACATTAAGCTTTAGAGGCTTTTAGTGTGGTGTTGGGAGATGGGAGAGAGAATGTGGCCTTGATAGAGGCAGTAGTCACCATGTCCTACCAGCTCAACTCCTGCCAGTGCTGCTGGAGTGCAGCCTGTCCTTGGGCAACTGCTTCACAGGGAACGTGATTCTCAGCTCCCAAATTTAAAGCTGATCTTCATGTTCATCACCAGTCTGAATAAGAATGTGAGCAAAGCCAGTTTCTTAAGGTAGCAGGTGGTTTGTTTGCCAGGCTTTAAAGCTGGGCCTTGCTGGGTGGAAGGTCCTGCTACCAGCTTTGGTTAAAAAACCTAAACCAGCTTTTGAAATCATCATCCTGTTCTGTAGGCACAACTTGCAGCTTAAGTAGTGAGTAAAGCTCCCTCTTCAGCTCTTGCATGCTCGTTTACTCACCTAAGCTGACTGGCTTCAACTGAAGGCAATGCTGACTTAAAACAAATGGATTTAAAAGGATTTTAGGTACCCCAAATATCCCAGCAGCATTGATTTCTTTAAGCTCTGCTCATTTAACTGAGACAAAGCAGCCATTATTTTGCTGCAAGTTGAGTCCATTGTGTGAAGAAGTGGGAGATGCTTAAATGACTTCCTGTGGGCGGGAGTGGCTTAAGGTGCCAAGTTCAGTGTAATGGCTGTTAGTTGTGCCCTGTCAGGTCCTAATGATTCTCAGTGGCTGCTTTATTTAAGGAAAACTGAAGCACAAATGCAAACCCAGAGTAGCTGATGACTAAACTGGCTTCCTGTTTGGTCTCAACTGCAGTCAATTAATGACCTATCACTTGTTTAGCCACCCTAAAAGTCCTCTCCGGTATTATAATGTAAATTCCTCTGTTCTTAACTGCCCTGCAGCCATGAGGAAACATGCCAGACAGTGCTAGGTGCAGCTGACCAGGTGTGTGTGGTCTTGGATGAGGGGACAAAATGCTCTAAGATGGAGAGACTAAAAATGTAGTGCTGCTTGCTTGGAGTTCCTGGGGTTAACAGGGTGCTTGAGGCACAGCAAAGCTGTTAGCAGGAGCTCACCTGGAGCTTGTCCCACTAATTGTTATATGACAGGTATATGCATCCAGAATAGTGAAATTCAACGCCTGTGCCCCTGCACCTACTGCCTTTGGTTTTGGCCTTTATATTTCAAGTGTTAACAGATCTTTGTCTCTGTGGGCACAATGCTTTTCTGTGCTGGAAGGTAGTTCTAGTAAATTGATTTCTTCATCACATCTGCAAATGGGAGCATTTCATGGTGTTCTGCAGAGAGCTGGGACTTGGCCTTGAGCTGTTGCACTGCAGCTGTTGCAAATTGGATGGTATTGCTGAAGAACCAGCAGGTTTCCTGATGTACTCTGTCATTCTGGCTTTGGTGCTGTAATCCTGTGGCAGTCTCTCACTATTACTTTGGAAGAGGTATATAGAGCAGCAAGACTAGTTGCAATGCCCTCTGTTAGTTCCTTAAATAGTTGCTTGCCAGCTGTTCAAGTGTTTGTGGTTGTTGGAATAAGGCAGACTCCTTCATCTGTCTGTGAAACAGGTCATGCGGCAGCAAATGTCTCTACTTGAGGAATTTTTCAGATTACAGGGAAGATGCTTAGTTATGTATCAGGAAAACCTCCTGTAACTAGTAGGTTTATGCCTAACAAGCTTTCCTAAGCCCCTGATGATCCCCAGTGTACCTTAGGAATACAGTTGGCTCATCTTCTAAAAGCTTTCACATTTGTGCAAAATGTATTTGAGAAGCTTAACTTTCAGGGATGCAACTCCTAGCCTTTAAAACTGGAGATGTAAAGAGGTGTGAGGCAAACCAATGGTTTTGCTGTGAGCTGCCTTCACATTTGTGATCCCAGGGCTGCAGAAATGCTGGCCTTGTCCCTTGCTTCTCCAGATTTGGTTTGGAAGTTCAGCCTTGGTCAGAGCTCTAGTCAACAAGGTAGGTTGCACACAGAGGTGAGTCCGGTTCTGTCAGTGAACAGCACTTACATCTGATTTGTCCTTATGCTTCCCCTGCTCTATACACTTCAGCCTTTTTTTGTAGAGGGGCCTCCCCAATGCTGAGGTTCTGTTAGAAATTACCGTGTGGGAGCAAAGGGAGACCTCTTCATGATGGCAGAGGTGGTAGGAGTGGGACCTAGCTTGCTTGGCTCATGTTTGCTTACTTATTCTGTTGCTGCCTTTATCTGGATTTTTCTCAGTTTTCAAGCTTGAAAACCCATTTGCTGGATTTTTAGCTGGCTTTGCAGTGGCCTAGGTCTGGAAGACTCAAACATCTGAGCATCATTGTGCTTGAATGAAGTGTTACCTTTCAAGACTAAGTCTGGCAAAGAGATGCTGTTGCTGTGGGATGGGGACTGAATCATGTTCAGCTCTCCCCATGCTACCTTAACCCGCCTGCCACAAACTGCCTGTGGATCACAGCTCCTGGTGCCAGTCCCTGCTTGTCTTTTCCACACAGTCTTAGGCTGTAATTTTCTAAATATTTTCCTGTTTCAAATGCCTGGTTGGTGCAGCCACGCTGCATACCAGATCAGGGGAATGAGCCAGGCTTAAAACTAACTCCCTGTGCCTTGGTTTTAACCAGATCAGCTCCCCAGCCCAGCTTCCTGTGTGGAAACTCATCTGCTAAACTGGTGTGAGGAGGGAGTGCTGGGTGGGGTCAAGTGACTGGGGCTGCAGCTTGTGTAAACTGTCTGGTCTGGCAGGGTTTAACTGCAGGTTAAGGGCTGAACTGTGTGGAGATGCTTACTTTAAGAAGCCTTTGAAATGTCTTAAATGTGGTGCTAACATCACAGCTTGCTGTCCAGGTGGTGGGGTGGAAAGTTGTTGAGCCTGTGCTGCAGTGCACCCTGGCTCCAGGGATCTCCTGGACAGACGGGAAGACATCCAGGAGAGCTGCCTGCTCTGAGACTGGCATGGGAGTGTTTTATTAAGGACTTTCTTCTCATGATGCTGTTGAAATCAAACCTAACTAGCTCAGGAGGCGGGAGCTCAGTCTCTCCCAGACGCTTGGGCATGAGCCCAGCAGAACACAGTTCCCTCTGCCAGGATGATTGGCTTCCAGTGGCAACTCCAGGGAAAAATCCAGGTTGGAAAGACTAGTGGTGGTTCTTGGGGCTTGGGAAAGTCTGCAGTGAAGCATTTGAGCTGGGTTGGGCTGTGTCAGGTTGCAAAGTGAAATTAATATTTAGTAGACATTTACTTGTGAATAACTTGAAGTTATGACTCTTTAGACTGAATTTATGTAGGAAATTAATTTTTCCTGCCCCAGTATCCTGTTAGTTTTGCCTGCCATCAACAATTGATTGCTTTGGAACAAATTTCTAGGCTCTGAATTTGAAAATAACTATGCTAGAAATCCATTTAAATTCTGTTTAAGTTGGTGTCTTTCCTTGATGACCTGTATCCATCTTTCAGCATGGCTGGGAGTGTTAAAGAAGCAGGGTTGTGCTATCTGTTTGCTTTGGATGGGAAAAGGTCTAATTAAAATATGCTGGTTTTCTAAGCAAATTCTACTCTGTGCTTACAGCAGTTATACTCATAACTGAATTGCAGGGAGGTTGTCTTTAATGTAGATTGAAGTCATCAGAAGGCAGCATAGATCTCTTGAACTTGAATCTGATTGGGTTCAATTAAACAAAACAGCTTCTTTCCTGAAAAATGTAGATAGCTAGGGAAAATGGTGCTGGATGCTGCGGAGTGAGCACTTCCTGTTGCTGATAAATTTGTTCCCTATTTTCCTTATTTCTTTAGTGGTGGGTTTCATCCAAGGTGTTGGATCCAGGTGGGATTCAAATTTTGCTCTCTGATACTGTGTCCTTGCTTCCCAGGAGATGAAGCTTGGTGGGAATTGGTCTTGAAGATGGTGTAAAACCTAGCAAGATCCTGGTCCCCAAAGGGAAGGTAGATCCCTGGCAGTAGGAGACTGGGCTAGAGCACAGCACTTCTGCATTTTCGTAAATGCAGAAATGTTACATATTCATATGGGCAAGTTATGGTTGCTGTGGGAACTGAGTTGTCTGAGCAATGTGCCTTTATCCTCTCCTCCCTACAGCTGCATTATAAATGTTTTTAGGGCCTGTCCAAAACAAGCAATCTGAAAACTATACTGTAAGAATTAATGGAGTGAAATACTCTGCTGAAGATGCAGTGTGATGCTTTCAGAGGAATATTTGATGCTGTTACAGGTGCTTGATAGTAATGTGACTGAATTGGCACTACAGCTTGTACTAGTACTACTAGGGGAGTAGAAAAAAATGTAGTGCATGCTATCCTGGTGAAGTGCTGTGGAGGAGGCTGCAGCTGGGAAGGGGGAAGGCAGCACATTGACAGCAGGTATGGTTTTAGCTCTCATCCCAGCTGTAGTGCTTCAGCCCCCTTGCTGTCATCTGGGAATGCTGGTGCTCCCCAGATTGCCATGGGGTGAAGGTGAGGGACCCACCTCTAATGGCAGCAGTGGGCTGTATCTCATGTAAGGTACCCAACTGCCACCAGCCCTTGCCAGGGCTTGGCTAGGTCACAGGCAACTGAGTGGCATGGGATGTGGCTGTGGATGTGGAAAAGCAGGCCAGGAACGCTGTCAGGCTGTCTGGGATGGCCAGTGCTGCACGTGAGGGATAACGTGACAGGCTGGAGTCACTGCAGCACCCCGCTGAAGAGCCGGGAGTGGTGTGTGTGAGGTGTACATCTGATGGCACAGTGGGAGGGTGTGGGGGCAGGGGGAGGAGGAGACAGCTGCTGCTGCTTGGTAGCTGGCTTATAAATGCCCTCTGACTCAGATTTTGGGTAACACAGCTGAGCATCTTGTGGTTTCATCAGCCCCCAGATCCCTGCATTAAACTGGAATTCTCAGACTATGAACCTGCTGTGTTTCCTTAGGCTGTTGGCACAGGCTTAAACCAAGGCAAGAATCTGGTGTCTCCAGTACCGTAGGCTTGTGAACACCCCACAGGGGAGGGGAGGGCTGGGAAAGAGGGGGGGGACAGCCAGGCAAGTGGAAGGTAAACAGGACATGAAAAATTCCTCATGTGAAATGGGTCCTGCACTCTGGCCAGTCCTCTTCCTGTACCAGCACTGATGTGCCTGCTCGGGCTGGACCCAGGATCATGGGCTTCTCTCTGGGTAGCTGTGGGGTTGAAGGTTATGCTTGTTACTCAGTGGTAAACAATGCAGAGTCAGTGAGGCACAGTGGCCAAGTTGAACCATAATAGATTATGCTAGCAGAATTGTGAAGCTTTGCATTGGGCTCTGAATTGGAGCCAGCAGCTGGAGTCTGTCCAGGACTAAAGTGTTTTTGGGTTTTGTGGGTGGAGGGAGGCGGGGACAGGAGATCTGGGTAGCACTAAAACTAACTGTCTGCTCTGTCGCTGCTGCTGCTATCATCGTTGCTGGGGGGATTGCTGCCTCGAGCCTGTCGTCTGCTGTGCCGTATTGTGGAGCCCTGCTTTTGTGCTGCCTGTCTCCCTTGATTTACTGGAGCTGCACCTCTCTTCCTGCCTGCTGTCTTGTCTTTCGGGGGAATCTTATCCTTTCTTCTTACCTTTATTTTGTAAGAGCTGATGCAGTTCTCTTGCATGGCTGAGTGACGTCACTGTCAGCACAGTAAGCATCAGCAGCCTGGTCACATGCTGACCCAGTCAGTAATGCAGACGGGATAGGAAGGTGGAGGGGCTGAGGGGGGTGGGGGGCTGGTTTCTGGACATATGGTAGCCCTCCCTTTTGGGGTGCAACTGCTAGTTGCAGAAGCCGTGGCTTCAGAGCAGCACGAGACCTCACTCGGGGTTTAACGCTTTGGAAAACTCCTTCTTTAAAAAGAAAAAAAGCAGCCCTGAACTCTCAAGCTTCTGTTTGTTCTCAATCTGAGCAGACTTCCAGGACTCTGAAGAAGCGGTGGCAAGCAGGATGCTTTTCCCCACGTCCACACAAGAGTCTTCCCGTGGCCTCCCAGACACCAATGATCTGTGCCTTGGCCTGCAGTCCCTCAACCTGACAGGGTGGGACAGACCCTGGAGCACCCAGGACTCTGATGCTGCAGCACAAACCAGCACACAGTCCGGTAAGTCTGCTGACGCACACAGCAACAGTTGTTGGATTCCTTTTATTTTTGGCTGTTTTCAAGCTAATGTGGAGCGATTTGCTTGTGTAACGGGGTGCTGGCAGTAACTGATGGGGGCTTCTTGACCTGTAATGCTCATGTAATATGGCAGTTAAGTTGGGGAGGTTGTGACTGCCTGTGCCACAGCCCCCTCTGCTCTGCTGTCAGTTCACTGCAGACAAGAAGTGCCCAGACTTTGTTTTGCTCAGTGCTGTACCACTGGTGGAGGAACAACCTCTGAGTAGAAATCCTTTCCTTGCGTTTGGAGGGAGTGGGTGGGGGGTGTGGTGTCAGGAGGCTGAACATGCTGGGTGGGAGTGAGGCTGAACTTCGTTCCAGCAGCCTGAGAAAAATCCCTGGTGGCAGGTAGCTCTGCAGGCTGGGGGGTGTATGCTGGCAGAGGGACCCCCCTGCCCAACTGCAAAGGTCCAGCCAGCACCACTTGCTCCTGTGCTACGGCAGCGCTGCCTGCTGAACTCTGCCTGTGGGGTGTGGTAGGCGCAGCCAGCACCTGACTAACAACTTCAGCCGGCAGCTCGCAGGCTGGGTGGAAGACTTGGAGGGATCCTTCTCCACTCCCACGTTCAACTAGAAATAGCGGTCTGTGCCTAGCAGTGGGCTGGAGGAGATGCAGCAGAATGGCTTCTTGCTTTAACTCTTTTGGTCCAGCGCAAACCTACGTGATCAGCAGGGTGTGGGCTTGCAGCCACACACTGCTGGCTGGTTTGCCCTTACCCCTCAATCGTCTCTAGTCTGGTTTTGCAGCTGGGATCAGAAGGGGAGGTTTTGGGGTGCTGGGTGCTTCCCCTGGAGTGATGAAGGGTTCAGCTAACTCTTACAGAGGCACCAGCCTTCTCTGTAGGAGGAGAAAGGGGTGCTGCGTACACAAACTTAATGCATCTCCTCAGCCTGGTGATGGAGCAGGGGGGGTAAAACAGAAGAGTTCGTTTCCCAGCCTTTGAGGGCTGTAAAAATCAGCTTCACAAATGGTGGTGTGTTCGTTCAAGTATCCGTCCATGGAAAGATCTAGTGCTTTGGCAGAGTTTGTACAAGTTCAGCCTGGTTGCTACAGAAACTCATCCCTTTATAGCAGCATGCTGCTGCTTTGTTAAAAGGGTGGTGCATCTCTGCGCAGACTTGGGTGACACAGGAGGCCCCAGGCGTAAAGTTTGTGCTGACAGGAATGTAAATAGTTTGTGGGGTGGCCTGGGCAGTGAGGTTTGCCCATGTAGATGGTTGGAGGTGCAGGGGGGTGCTGTCAACCACATCTCACATCCAGGGGATGCTACCCTTGGGATAGGAAGAGCAGGGGCACGGCCCTGAATGTTGTTGCATGAGTTGTAAATCCAATTTAAAAAAAACCAATCACTTGTGGGGTAGTGGAGTTTGAAATGACAGCTTCATCAGCACAGCTCACTCTAGTTTCTATATCTAATTTCTGCAAGAGTTGGTGTGCAAGCTTGCATGTGAGCCCCAGCACAGGCGCTTAGGGTCTGCTTGCAGTCAGGCTGTGGTAGCTTTATTAAGCCTTGCTCTGCTCCAGCACATGGTCCCGTGGGCTTCCCCTGGGAATACCACATACTCAGTATCTGTCCTCCTCCTGTTGCCAGCTGAAACCTTGAAGGAGGAGAGACAAATGAAAGTTACTTGTGTGCAGTGGGTGGGACAGGTGCCTGGGAGCCATGCACTGAGCCCCTTAATGGTTGTTAGCAGACTATGGGGCACTGAACCTGTGTTGTAGGATTTTTACTGTAAAGAGTATGCTTTAAATCAGGAAACATGCATGCTGAATGGTGCTGCTGCTGTTAACCGCAACACCCAGGGCTTGGTGCACATGGTGCTGCAGAACAAGGGCTGTCGCACACTGAGGTGGCTGCTCGGTGCAGATGTCCCACCTGATCCACTGTAGCTGTCTCCAGTGTTCTCTTGGCCAGCTTCCTGCCAGGCTGTCTTGGCAGAGGCGGGGATGTCTGCAGCGCTTGGGCAGGCAGGGAGCAGCGCTCAAACAAGCCTGTGCCAGGCTTTGCACCTTGCAGGTTGGGTGGTGGGGCCAAGTGGACCATGGTGGTGGGAGGGGGTTTGCTGTCAAGGGTGGAGGGACCTCTGGTTTCAAGAGGGAGATTCATCTGGAGATGATTTGAAGGTGCTCTGGTCACCTCCCTGCTCACAGAGGGTGTATCTGGTGTCAGGTGCCCCCACTGACTGCAGTGCATTGTGCTGGAGCTCCTGCCTGCCGCAGAGGCCTGGGAAGAGTGGTAGAAAGGGTTGAACCCTGAGCACTATCCTGGGCTCAGGTGATCTGCACCCAGTGGGTGTTTGACAACTTGTGGTAACAGTTGCTGGAAGATGGCATGCAATAATGTCTGGAGAGGCCTGTTTCCTCACTCCTGGTATTCCCCTAAGTACAAAAAGGAAGGATGGCTAGGGTGTAAAACCAACCCAGATGCCATTGTGCTGCTTCCACAGAGCAGTTTCTGGCCTCTAGAGGCTGTGCAGAGGGTCTAGTTTTGTATGATGGGGTGTGTCATGGTCCTGAGACCACTTTCTCCTTCTCAATCCCACCCTTGCTTCCCAGGTGTGTGGCAGCTGGGCCAGGAGTGCTCTTTGGTCTAGGCTGCTGTTACTCTCCTACTCCAAGAGCTGTGGGGATGGTGTATGCTGGCTGGAGAAGTGAAAGGCTGCTATCTCTGCACAGCTGTTGTATTGCTTCAGCCTGTCCACACCTCCCATGTCTGCAGAGCCTCATCTTTTCCTCCTTCATAAGGGCCCTGAAGTGGCAGTGTGGAGCTTCTTGGGAGGGCAAATCTTGTACTTCAGGAATGTCTTTTGAAAGGCTGTGAAACACTCCTCTCTGGGTGGCAGAAGAGTGTTGCCATGTCTGAAGGCTGTACAGATCTGAGGAGTTGGCAGATGCCAGTGCTTCCAGGTGGCCTAGCTGTGCTGTGATGGAAAGAGGGAGGACATGGAGAGGATGCTGCTGTGTCCAGATGTTCCCAGTGGCCGGTGCTGAGGCCGGGGAGGCTGTAGCTGGCCTAGCCCCACGGGCTGGGGTCTCCATCAGGGTGTCCTGAGAGCAGGTGAGGCTGCATCAGTGCTGGACTATCTCTAGGGGCCGAAGGATGGTGCCAGGCAGAGTTGTTGTGTTGCTGTCACCCAAGCGTTTAGAAGGTTCCAGCAGTGACTCAGCTGCACAGGCCCATGGGGAGGTGGCTGGAAGGATGGAAATGCAGAAAACCTAACAATCAAGCTAAAAATATTGCTGATGTGGTCCCCTGCAGTGCCTGTGCTTGAGTACTGATGAGCCAGGACCTTGGCTCCTGTCTGTGTAGAACCTGCCAGCATGGAGCTTTCTCGGCCTGGTAAAGACCTTTGGCTGCAAACCCTCCTGGTGTCACCTTGTGCTCTCAGGGTGGTGTTACAGCGCAGTGGGATCAGGTGCCTGCTGCCAGCTGGGGCTGTGCTGGAGGAGGCCACAGAGCAGCAAGGCTGGTTTGTATGCTCCGATCCTGCCTATGTCCCTCTTCCCAAAGGGCTGCTGAACCCCTTGCACCTAGACAAGGTTAACTGTAACAAGTTTTCCTTCTGGGTCCAGTGCCCTAAGGCACTGTGAATGTGTGCTTAGCCCTTGAGAGTGTGCCAGATGCACTGCCAGTCCCTGAAGCTGGTGTCTGGAGAGAGCCTTTCCGGGAGGCAGCAGCTGCTTGCAGGCTTGAGCTGCCTGCATTTATTGGCTGTAGGATTGAACTGCTGTCTCATAGCAGGGAAGGCATCTCAAAGCCACTGCTGCCACTAGATCTGTCAGGCTGGAAATACTTCAGCAAGTCCCAGAAACCTGCTCTGTGGCACGGGGAGGGGCTTTTGCAGGAAACTGGCCTTGAACACTTCCAGTCCTGCCATCCCTAGCCTGTATTTCTTGAGGCAGCATTTCCCCTTCTTTAACCTCATAGTAGGCAGATGCTTGCATTAAAACCTTAGAGTTCATCACTCTACAGAGGCAAGGAGGGGTTAAGAGATAGTAAGATGGGACTGCCCTTGATGGTATCCTTTACCTTCACTGCTGTATTCCTCAAGGAGCACAAGCAAATGGGGTCTTGATCCAATTTTTGCCTGGAGAACGGGTGACAGCAGTACACAAGCGGATCTGTGTGCAGATTTTGGGTCTCCCTGGCTGGTTTTTAGCCTGCATGCCAGCTGCTTGGTCTGGCTGGTCTGTCCTGCCCTACATTGGGAGCCTGTCCCTATGTGGGACAGCAGACTTGCCTGCTGGGAAATCATCCTAAAACCAGTCTGTTAACGCTAAGTTTGCAATGCTGACCTGCAAGGGTGTTCAAAAGCAAGCTCTCCTTCCAGAGAGGATGTTGGCCTCTCTAGGTAAGCCTAGCCTGAGCAGGTGAGGTCTTGCTGCTGTTGTGTGACCCTAAAGCTGCTGGTACAGCAACAGATTTGAGCTTTTCCCTGGATCTGTCTGCTTTGAGACTGCAGCTCCAGCTTCCTTCATGCCTTCTCTGGGGTGGTTGCTGCTGTCTTATTCTCTAGCCTATGAAGTTACAGCTCCAGTTGTTCTGGTGCTGGAGAAATGGCCTGTGGTAGGGAAGTGCTGCTGAATCTTTCCAGTCCTTGGTTCTCCTGCTTCCCAGAGCACAGCAACTTCTTTCTGCAGTAATCTTGAACATACTGGTTATCTGTAGTTGCTTAAAATCTGCTAGGCTAGAACTGCAGGCAGTCTGTGTGTTGCTGGCAGATAGCTGAGGCCTCTGAGTACAAATCACTCTGAAGTCTTCAAGGTAAAACCTTGTCTCTGAAGGATTAAAGAAAAGACCTGTCACACAGAAGGAAACACAGCTGTTGTCGTGGACTTCTGGCCTTTCTTCTCAATAACAGCAGTAGGGACTTGTAAGCTGCTCCCCCAGTACAGACTGGTTTTGGGCTGTCTCCAGAAATGCAGTGTATGTGGTGGCAGG